TAAAGAAAAATGCAGCAATATCAAATCGCGCAAATAATTTTGGTCAAGCAAGGCTACAACAAACTTTTAGCGGGTCGCGAAAAGTTGCGACATCTTTTAACGGGTCGCGAAAAGTTGCGACATCTTTTAACGGGTCGCGAAAAGTTGCGACATCTTTTAACGGGTCGCGAAAAGTTGCGACATCTTTTAACGGGTCGCGAAAAGTTGCGACATCTTTTAACGGGTCGCGAAAAGTTGCGACATCTTTTAACGGGTCGCGAAAAGTTGCGACATCTTTTAACGGGTCGCGAAAAGTTGCGACATCTTTTAACGGGTCGCGAAAAGTTGCGACATCTTTTAACGGGTCGCAAAAAGTTGCGACATCTTTTAACGGGTCGCGAAAAGTTGCGACATCTTTTAACGGGTCGCGAAAAGTTGCGACATCTTTTAACGGGTCGCGAAAAGTTGCGACATCTTTTAACGGGTCGCGAAAAGTTGCGACATCTTTTAACGGGTCGCGAAAAGTTGCGACATCTTTTAACGGGCCGCGAAAAGTTGCGACATCTTTTAACGGGTCGCGAAAAGTTGCGACATCTTTTAACGGGTCGCGAAAAGTTGCGACATCTTTTAACGGGTCGCGAAAAGTTGCGACATCTTTTAACGGGTCGCGAAAAGTTGCGACATCTCTTAACGGGTCGCGAAAAGTTGCGACATCTTTTAACGGGTCGCGAAAAGTTGCGACATCTTTTAACGGGTCGCGAAAAGTTGCGACATCTTTTAACGGGTCGCGAAAAGTTGCGACATCTTTTAACGGGTCGCGAAAAGTTGCGACATCTTTTAACGGGTCGCGAAAAGTTGCGACATCTTTTAACGGGTCGCGAAAAGTTGCGACATCTTTTAACGGGTCGCGAAAAGTTGCGACATCTTTTTTGGGTCGCGCAAACTCGCGCAAAACAATTCTATTGATCACAATTGCAGCATTCCCATTTTGAGTTGCAAAATAAGTCCCCGGCCTCAGTCCGGGTAGCCATTAAAGAACAAACATCAATTAATATTTTAAGATAATTGTTCTGTTCTACAAGTTTGTGATGCTTATTGGCCCCGCCCAGATTACAAACGCATATCTTCAAATCAATTTAAAAACTGCGAACAAGCGGAGACTAACCCAAAAAAGTTGTTTATTTATAGGTCAGTCTTCTTCGTTCGGTTTGTCCAGCCAAAACACAATAATCGACCCAAAACGCAGAAAACGCGAAATACCCGAAATACTGCCTTTCAAATTATGTCAAGTTTTTATTGGCTGAAGAACTTTTTTATAACAATACGAAGGAAAAACGCTAAAATTTTTACTTAGAAACGAATTTTTTTAAGAGAGAGTTGTCAACACTCAGCACAAATGCTGTTTTGTCGCATTCTTTTGAAACTGCTCCTTTTGACTGCCTTTTAAAGTCTATGGAGCAATAATAATAACTTGAAAAAATTAATTGTAATAAATTAAACCAAACTTTTTTTAGTTTGAGATTTTTTTGTGAAAATCATCCCCCACATGCCATATAAAGTACAAATTGCTCCTACTTACAAATAATTTATGGCAAATAAGCTTCCTTCAACCAATTTCGAGCAATTTATAAGACGAATTGAACCTCCGCTTACGCGTTAATAGCGCGAAATATATCGCGCGTTAAATGTACCATATTGGCCAAAAAGGCAATATTAATCCCCCCCCCCCAATTTGTCTAAATCTGTTAATTTGTTGACTCTGTCATTTTTATTCCGACTTTCGAAGAAATTGAGGAATAAGCTTCCTTCAACCAATTTGGAGCAATTTATAAGACGAATTGAACCTCCGCTTACGCGTTAATAGCGCGAAATATATCGCGCGTTAAATGTACCATATTGGCCAAAGTGGCAATATTAATCCCCCCTAATTAAAAAAAAAACGAAAAAGTGAAACATCTTTTCAAATTGAAGCTGAGGTCAACAATATCTTTTGAATGATAAAAAAAATTCTCACAAACAAGGCCCACAAATCTGGTAAAAAACATTTAAAATGAAGATGTAAATCAAGGATGCATTTATCTAACTACTGAATTCCGCGAACGAAACGCCCATTCTGCTTACCATTTGGGGGTTTCCTTTACAATTGTGGATTCTACGATAGCGAAATTTTCCTAAACACCTAATATCTTTGTTTGTTTGTGATTCCACAAACTGCCCTGCATTCCGCAAATGTTGCTGCGGGTTCCACAAATTTGGTTTGCTTTTGGAGCGAATTTGAGCGATACAGTGTTTTAGCTATTTTTTTTGGAATACAAAACCGCAGAATACAAAATTATACTGTAAAAATTTCTATTGCAGGCTGCGCAAGAAATAGATTTTTAGCCTGTTGCAGAATCTCCTTAAAATTGATAAGACACACATTTGGCCTTGTAAGAATGCCTTTGATTTTTTTTATAACATGTGTGTTTCGAGACACGAACAAAACTTTTGAAAAATAAGAGCCGCCGAATTTTTCAAATACTGTGCTTGCCTCCAAAAAGATGGCTTGATTTTAGTTCAACCTATTGATAGAATCAAAAGCTTGCTTCAGTACCAATATTCTGTGCCCAGTTTCCTGTACTGCGACTAAGCATTTCGATG